CTTTTCACTTGTTACGTATCCAACATGCAAAGTAATTTTCATTTTAAGATTAAAAATATTTTTATGCATCTGAAAATTTTAAAATTTCACATGCGAAAATCTTTATAAAGTCTAGATAGTTATAAAACGTTTCTTAAGGAAAAGCTTTATATTTTATCTGTTATTTTCACTAATGGGTTCGATAGATTTGACCAATCTCGTAACCAACATAAAAAATTAGGAAATAATAAACATAAATTATGTTTCTTTCATTCTACAATGACTACAAATTATAACACAAAAACATAAATGTTTAGACTAAATAGTTTAAATCTCATAACATGATACATTTATATCTATTTATCATTTTTATTATATTAACCTTTCAGACGTGCCTGGCTAACATTACAGACGTTGTAATGATGCGGCGCACATGCACTCATGTTACTGTATCAAATATTATAAAATTTTACCAACATAAAAATTAGGAAATAAACCATATCCAATAATATATAGTTGACCTTTAGTCTTTACAAAGTGACCCTGTCTTTGCTACGTTTTAGTAGACTAGTATTTAGTAAAATACACTAACATTTCAATTATTATACATGTATATAGATTATTAATATTTAGAAATAAGTTATTAAACTTAATTTTCTTAAACATAGAAGCAAACAATTATCTCTTCTAGTTACGACCTTTGTACTCAGTTGATGACTGACATAGGTTGCTAAGCCTTTTAAAATTTCGCACGTAGAGGATATGAAACGATATAATTTTTTTAGGTTTTATGTATACAGTTGAATAACCAAAAAAACTACAAATATTATGATATCGATATCATAGAATTCCACTATATTTTATCAATCTAAGTAACTAAGCTGTATTTCGGCCAGGTGGTTAAGATGCTCGACTTCCAGTCTGAGGGTCGCGGTTTCTAATCCCCGTCCCACCAAACATGCTCGCCCTTTCAGCCGTGGGGGCTTATAATGTGACAGTCAATCTCGCTATTCGTTGGTAAAAGAGTATCCCAAGTGTGGTTGATGATGACAAACTTCCTTATGATGTTAAATTAGGAACAGCCTTCGTGTAGTTTTGCACGAAATTCCAAACAAAGCTGTATTTCGGTCTAAAAAAATATGAAATCTGGAGCAGACACAACCCACCATATGAAATTTTCGTACCAAAAAAATGAGAGGGCCTCCCAACATTTTAAAATGGCTGAGAAAAACCACTAGAAGGACATTCTGAGCTGTCAGTTGGTTATTCACATGTCATATATTGAAGAAAATGCATATAAGGGACCATTTCCAAAAATCACAAACATCTAATTAAAACCAGTGCTGCATTCAACATACCATGTGACATACAAAAATCGATATTTAACTGTGTTTTTTAACATTGACTTCTGAATTAAGAAATTCAAAAATGTATAATACTAGAATTTGAATAATAATCTACAGTTTGATATCAAACTTAGTTTTTTAGGTTTTACATATACAGTTGAATAACCAAAAAAAGATAGGCAGGTGCCCATTTTCGTACATGCGCGTGCAGGTGCTTATTTTGGTACATGCACAAAATAAACACCTGCATGTAGCAAAATAAGCACCTGCACACACATGTATGAAAATAAACACCTGCGTGCGTATGTACAGAAATAGGCAGTCTGCGTGCACATGTACCAAAACACGCACATGAGCACGTATGTACGAAAATAGGCATCCGCGCGCGAAAGTACCAAAATAAGCCCTGAGCGCGCATTTACCATATTACGCACATGCGCGCTCATGTACCCAAATAAGCACCTGAATGCGCATGTATCATTATAAGCACATGCTCGCTCTTTCAGCCGTGGGAGCGTTATAATGTTACAGTCAATCCCACTATTCGGCGGTAAAAGAGTAGCCCAAGAGTTGGCGGTGAGTGGTGATGACTAGCTGCCTTCCCTCTAGTCTTACACTGCTAAATTAGGGACGGCTAGCGCAGATAGCCCTAGTGTAGCTTTGCGCGAAATTCATATTCATATTCAGTATCGGGCTCTGTAGAAGGAAACTGGAAACAAAGATATTCTGACTATTTACCTAACTCTTATTATTATTATTTTAGTACATATAGTTTTTCTAAGTTGGGGTTTATATAGATTTTATTTTGCATATATGTATTCTAAAGATAAGAAGATTTTCATACGGTCTTCCCCTCTTCACTTATGGATTTTTACTTATAATCTTGCAGGTTTTCAATTTTCATTTCATTTCGTAGTGGAAAATGTGTTATACATCAAGTAGACTTTTCATCGTTATTTTAATACAACTGGAGGTTTTACTTTCCAATTTGAACTGGAGCTGGTCTTTATGGTTCCAACTGTGTACGTTACTGCATACAATGGAAACATTACGTTAAAAAACCAAGAACTCCTATAATTGGTGATTAATTAAATGTTACACTCATAAGTTTCAAACAAGAATAACAAATAAGGAAAGCCGATGTTCTTGAAGGACCATTGTTAACTATGTCCTCACTAGATGGTGCCACCAGGCAAAGTTATTAGTCTGGTTTTTAACAATACCAAAGCCAGTAATACAAAAACGATTACTTTTGACTTTTCATAAACTGGTATTCGTTGAAGGTAGATAAAATTACTGGAAATTATAAGAATATGTTATCTGTTAATTATTTTTAACATATCAAATATTGCAAATGTTGAATGTAGATAAATATATAAACGCAACATACCATAACAAACGGTTGTTTATGGACTTTGTGGAAAATTGCTAAAATGTAATTTATTACAATAAACGCTAACCACAGAAATTATACTCGTAAACAAACCAATATTCCTGTTTGTTATCTTCTTGAAAATTATTGGTATTTTTTGTTTTTTTTGTTTTTTTTTCATGCTGATTATAAGCTAACAATATAATAAACTTAAGGGTCACTCACACGTTTAGATTTAAGGAAAGAAAGCCCATCCACGAGCTCCTAGAATAATAAAAAACAACCACGAAAAGTCAATAGTGCATTTCTCTTATTTAAACAATTGAATTTAACATCATTAAGTCCTTTCTACCTGAATCGTGTTTATGTTAGTGGTAAAACAAAAGAAACAGAAAGTTAACGTACTGCTCTGAATATTACAAATATTAATTGGATTGAAGATTTTTTCGTCTGAGACTTGTTAACTAATCCCATTTAGATGATACTACAAAAATATGCTAAACAGTCATTAGCTTGAACTTATTATTTGAACAACTGTACTCAACTGGGATAAAACTTGTAAGGGTTTTATGATTTAAAATACGTTACAAATAAGGCTGTAAAACTAGTATTGTCTCTTAAGAACAACGAACGTTTTTTTCAAAACCATTTCGTTTGTTAGATCACTTTGAAACTAAACTTATGTTGTTGTTATTTTTCAATTAATTCATTCTATAAGGCTTCGAAAACTGGCCCGGCATTTAATTTCACTGTTTATTTCAGTTTTGAGTACAAAATATAACACTAATAATGGTTGGAGACGGTTTGAATGGGTAATGAAGAAAAACTTTAATATAAGTTTAACATAGTAGCAAATGTACAACGTTTCGACAAGGTTTTTGTCATCATCACCTCGTCATCGAAAATACAACTCTGTGAAGCACACTAGATGGCAGGACATGCATATTTTGGTTCGGTTATTACAAAGCTTCTCAATTATACATTTGCTTGCCCCTGAAGAAGAAAAGTCCACCTTTCGAAAGCGCTCGGGTTATAGGTTTTTTTATCATTTTGTATCAAGACTTATTGAACCTACGTGCTTTTCTGACATCATGAACGCTTCTTTATTATTGTCGAAGTTTTGTATGTGTGTATTATGTGTAGCCTGAAATAAGACTATTATTAATTTTGTTAAAACTTTTTAATATGTTTGAGTGATTAATTCGCTATAGTTATTTACTTCCAAACTCAACAGGTCGATCACAGTACTTCCGATCAATAAACATATTGTATGTAAATAACACTTCATAAAAGGGAAGATTCCACTTAAATGTTTATATCACATTAGCATGACCAAAATATTGTATTATCTGTTTTATTAGCAGTTTTATGTCTGATTATGAAATATTGGACGTGATGTACGAAAACTCGCAAAAAAAGGACTTTTAATTGCCGTAAGAAAGAAATCGGGTTCAGAAATCGAGAAAAGACTGGACTTAATATTCAAGAAATATAAAACAAGGCGAATCGCGGGTTCGAATCCCTGTCGCCGAACCTGCTCGTCCTTTGAGTAATGGGGCGTTATAATGTGCGGTTAATCCCACTATTTGTTGGTGAAAGAGTAGCCCAAAAGTTGGTGGTGATGACTAGCTGCCTTCTCTCTACTCTATCACTGCTAAATTAGAGACAGCTAGCACAGGTAGAATATAAAAAATCT